AACGGATTTTGCATAGATATCGTCTTTATCTCCATACACACAAGTTGTAAAAATAGGTTATTGGTAGAGTCTTTCAGTTTTAGACAAAAACATTACGTCAAGTAGATTCACTCTGCACTTCATACGCAACGCTGTCACCATCTCGTAAATTCCAGCGCAATTTAAATCCTTCGAGAAAAATCAGTTATGATCATGTACAACACAGAAATTAAACGGTTAAGTCAGTCAAACAGCTTTTTCGCTCTTGTCGTAGTGGTAATCCTGTGTGAAAATTTAATCAGAATCCGAGCAGTACCTCTCAAGTTTTAGAGTAGTCAAGGATTAGCGACTAGACAGACACACCGACGGAAATCAGTAACATGATTTTTCATGCTGTACGTCATATAACATCCAAAAAACATTTTCGAAATTTATCGCGATGACTATACTCAGTGGCGTAAGAACTAAAAACGAAGCTGTTGCATTCTCCAACCCCTAATGGATTTTTTACCACTGCTTTTTTTCTTTTTTATTATTATAATTAACGTGTTTTTTATTGAAATTGTTGAAGCCTTGAGTTAATTCTAAAAAATCACATGTACCTGAAGATGGCATTTAAGCTCACTGAAACGTTGTATTCAAAAATAATACAACTTATCAACATATAAACGGTTAGGAATAAACAACTGCAAACATGAATTTTATATTTTCTCGTTATAATATTACTTATATAAATTATTGGGTATACTCAACTATGCATTTCATTCAATATTTTATTCTAGTAGATATTTGTTTATTTCTAAATATGGCAACTTCATTTCCTCATCTTATCGCTTATGCATAATACGGTTTAGATGAATATCAGTACATAGTTCTAGTACTAAACGCGTATATAAAATAAATGTAAAAGTATACAAATTTTTTCAAAAAAACAGTGGGATTACTGCTAGGGTACAAAGAAAACCATGGGCAGTGAAATAAGTTAATATCTTCAAAATGGATAAAATAATATCTCCGAAAACCTAGATAAGAAGAAATTAAAATGTTCTACTGATTTTTTGTGACGTTTACTAATTTTTGAATAAGGTCTCTACATGAATTTTGTCTCTTGAGTCATTTTTGTAAGGCAACTGCTTTTTGAGATCGGTTTGTATGTATGAGATAAAATCTTTGTAATAAACTTAAATCCGATCAACTTTAAGAATTTACCAATGTCAGTGGAAATTATGTTAAGGGAGTGACATCAAAAACATGAATTATTCTAAATCAATGACGTCAGCAGCATAGAAATTTGCAGCACCCTACATCTTGATAAAGGAACATTACAGGAAATATGTTTGTAGGAACTTTTTGTATTATTTTTGGATGTAGCTTATACTTCAGAAACATTTTTTCAAAAACACTCTCTGCACGAGTACTAATTTCATATTGCATTCAATAGACCAACTCAAGCGATAACCTCAAATAGTACAATATTTAAGCCTTGGCTTTTATCTCAATAGCCTTCTCTTTCAAAACTCTTCTTAATATTTTTCCACTTGGGTTTCTCGGTATTTCAGCTACGAAAATAACTCCTCCTTTCAGTCGTTTTCCTGGTGAAACATGGTCTTCTACAAACTTCTCTACATCCTGCTCTGTCAAATTGCTACTTGGCTTCTTCACAGCAAATGCTAGTGGGAGCTCCCCTAATGCCTCGTCTGGCAGACCTGTTGGGGAAATAAAACAAAAATGGCATCAAGTAGGTTGACACTGTTCTTCCCACGCAACGCCGGCATAAGTTCATAGGAGAGCTCCTAGGCTTTTGTTGTGCCAGAGATCAAGCCTAGACCATGCTGATGAGTTGTCGAAAAACCACGAAACAGCTCTTAATGCTGACTGTCTTTGATTGGACGGGCGAAAGCAGTATGTCGCAGTTAGACCCTCTGCGAAAAAAATTAAAGACGAGTCAAGTCCATAAAACAGGTCCATGCAATTAGCCCATAAGCATCCATTCCCTGCCCGACCCGCATTACTGTCCATCTGGCAACATCGCATCTCCTCAAAACCACGATGCGTCAGACGTGGCAGCGCGACAGCGCCAGTCATACGAGGGCACTTATGAAGACCGGGTACCCGCCGATGTAGCCAGACTACAGACGCAGGCGACCACATTTCTCTATGGTTTTGAGTGCACATTCAGGGGAAAATCTATTATGTTTGGAATATAATATCTAATAGGTGCTTAGAGCTATCGGGGTTATTATTATACTGACATCAAAAAAATTGTTACCCTAAAAAAATTATTAAAAACGATCAGGATTCTCTGAAAAGTCAAAAATCGAGTTTGAGCGTTTTTTTAATTTTTTCCCCCGCCGCTTGACCGATTTTCATAAACTAAAGCATCTTCGTCCTTGGCATATTAGTAGCCGTGTGTAAAAATTTCATCCAAATGCAAGTGGTACTTTCCAAATTACAGACGGGTCAATGATTAGCGGACAGACAGACCGGCAGACGGATCAACGGAAATAGACAAAAAAAATAAAAACTCATTTTCGAAATTTGTCGCTACTACAACACTTCCACGGGAAGGAAAATCAGCACAAACAAAATTCCTCTAGCTGCAAATGTCACGTTAGCATATTCATACGTCGTTGGCAAGGCTTGAAAGCCCGTGAAAAACATAAAAGTGATTTCACTTTTTGCTTGGTTCAGAGATTAACCTATACTCAAGATAACCACCCAAATAATGTTTTTCGTAGGCGAGCATTTTTTCGGGATGAAATGAAATGCTCTGGCGTTTTCCATAAGAATTTCTCACAACTGTGACTCTCATCTTTGCTTTGAAAATGTTAGGCTCGATTTTACTAAGCCGGGAGAAAGCGCGTGGGTCACAAATTCAACCAACGTGCAAGTGACTTTGAAGTAATGGATCTATCTATATACGGTCGATTACTTATAAAATGTCTCTCAAACTAGAGAATAATTATACGGTTTGTGTAAGATGAGCTGCTAATCCGCAGATTAAATCAAGAAATACGTCATAAATCACTTGGCTTAGCTACAAAAGCATATTGTTTAATTTGCGGTCATGGTCAGAAAGTGCACCAATAAAAAATAAGCATTTGCGCCATACTCGAAGCATGGACACAAACCTGATACAATATCTAGATTGATATGACCGCAATTAAATGAGCATTTTATTGAAAATAACAGTCTCACTGTTCCTGTACAAAATTCTGCTTGATAAATTCTTTGAGGGCATAACTACAATTACAGAATGCTTATCCTCCAACTAACATCCAGTAAATATTCAATTTACTTGACTACCGCTCGAAAAACCCTTACCCGTAAGCCTTCCCTGTTAATAGCGAGCTCTATCGCCTTCTACCAGTACCGGGCAGTAGGGCATCTTCGTGTTGACAGTAATAGGACTTTCTTGAGGATAAAGGTTTTTTGTAGGGTAGTCAAGTAAATTATAATCTCGATGTTAGTTAAAGGTATTCTGTAATTTTATTTATGTCTTCGATAATTTATTAAGCAGAATTGTGTGCAGCAACAGTGAGACACTATTATTATCAAAAAAAGAAGATCAGTAATGACATCTTGTCAATTCTATTATATCAGATTTGATCCATGTTTCTTTTTGATAGGTGAAATTTGTGTCAGCTTTTATGCTCGGTCATAAAAGAAAAATAGGTTTTTGCTATTGAATCATGATATAAAAAATATGTTTTGATTTAATGAGGATTAGGTGCCAAAGGCGCAAATTTTAATTCTGGCCGGTCAATAATAAAATCGGGCTTTAGAGTATGATACAAGGCACTGTAGACAACTATACTCGTATATGACATCAAAAGGTTCTTCATACGATTATAAGTGCTGACTTCCTTTACAGCAAAGGTTTGATTTAATCGGACATTGTAGTGTAGAGTAATTCTACTAACCGACAACAGCAACATCATCTATAGATGGATGATTTACAAGGAGTGCTTCCAATTCAGCGGGTGCCACCTGAAATCCATTGTATTTGATAAGCTCTTTCAGTCTATCGACAATATAAAAATATCCGTCATCGTCATAGTATATAATGTCACCAGAATGGAGCCACCCATCTTTATCTATGGTATTTCTCGTTGCTTCTGGGTTATCAACATACCTGAAACAATAGAGATATTTTCCAGATATGAATAACCTTCTACAAACAAGAAATTGCATTTAGTTCGCCAATTTTTTTATCAAATACTTAAAGCAATTCCCAGTGGATGGAGATATCTTTAAATATATTTTTAATGCAGATAAAATCATAAATCCATACTGGGAACATTCATCATTACAATACTTTCATTTTATTTACTTATCATTTTAAGTGTCTAGAATATTTCCATAAACCTACTTGTACATACAATTGTTTCCCAAAACAATTTAAGGTTTGGGTTATTTTTCAAACCCAGTTGCCTTTGAAAGTAATTTATCTGCTGCCACTACTAACAGCAGTACTAGCTTATGTTGTGGTACATGCAAATAATGACAGGTTAAACTGAACTTACCCTTTCATAACCATAGGTCCTTTGATACAAAGTTCACCCATCTGATGCTTGCCTAAACTCCTTCCCTGCTCATCTACCACCTTGGCCATCATACCAGGCACTACTTTTCCACTCGAACCTATCTTGACTACATCGCCTGGGGGTGTGGCAAGAACTGAGAGTATAGTTTCGGTCATGCCAAAAGCTTGAGATACATGTTCTGCGTTAAACTTTTCTTTCAATTCTCTCTGTATATCTGCGCTGAGCGGAGCAGATCCACATCTAAATTCCTTGATAGATGACAAGTCGTACTCCTTCACCATTGGATGTTTGACAAGAAACAGTACCAGTGGTGGTGGTACTATCAGCCTAGTCACACGATACTTGACTAATGCTTCTAAGAACGTCTTTGGTTTAAATTTATCAAGCAGTATCACCGATTTGCCTCTTACTAAGTTCATGTACAATAACACGAAACCAAGCCCTTGAAATAGTGGCATCACAACTAACATGGCATCACTGGGATCTTGGTTTATCATCAGGTCTTTGTATTGAGTGAAGGTCACTTCGGTAAATGTAGTGAAGTTGTGATGGGTAACCATTACACCTTTTGGAAGGCCTGTGGTTCCTGATGAGTATAAGATCGTGGCGACTGTTTCTTTTGGATCAACTGGTACTGCTTTATAAGATTCATCCAGTTCTTCCATATCAGCATTCCCCATAATTTCATTAAACATCACCACCTTAGGATGATTAGACCTAGTTCAGAAAAAAGGCGTCAAGTAAGTTGACTCTGCACTTCCCACCCAACGCTGTCATCAGTTCATAAGGGATTAGTCGCTTTGAGCTAGCTACAAAAATGTACGAGTATAGCAAAAAAATTAAATGGGTCAAGTCAGCCAAACATGCCCATATATAATTAGTACATGCTCCATAGGCCCCATCCATTTGATATTGCTAACACCCTAAGTATCGACCATCTGGCAACTCTGATGGACCACAGTAATCAAACACGTCATAAACGCCTGTCACGATACTATAACATCCCTGTCGACGATGCTGTCGGACGGCAAATGAAAGTCGCCGTTGCATCACATCGTCCCGGCGAATCGCGTCTCTCGTCTATAAATACCATAATATGAACAGGTTATGGAAGCGAATGTACGGGGAAATCTTTAATGTGTGAAATACGTACTGATAGGTGCGTAAAATTACTGGGGTTGAAAGTGTATAGATAAACCGCCCCCAACAAAATGAGATATACCTATCCTCACCCCTTCCAGCTCCTGATTTTCAAACCCTGAGCGACTTTAATTTTTCCGTGTTTTTGGCTCTAGCTCAACCGGCACTGCACCTGTTCAAAAACTACCAAGCTTTTATGTTCTTGGCATACTAGTAACCTCATGAGCCAATTCCATATATGTCTGATCAGTACTTTCTAAGGTATAGGTAGTCGGAAGATTAGCGGACAGATAGTACAAACCGACGGAAATGAATGACATGATTTTTCATGATGTATATGCTATATAACATCCAAGAAACATCTCATTTGCGAAATTTTTCATGATTACAATACTTCTTCGCCGGTATCCATGGAAAGTAAACGTGATAACCAGTATATTTGACAACACGACAGCGACGAGCGACGACTAACCCACTGCATTACCCATCTGTGGAGCGTTCTATGACAGATATGACTATACCCTTTTTCACGTGTATCCATCACGGTAGCCGATTATCTAGTAATATCTCAAAATCCCAATATCGGCACAGGACTCATAATTCTGACGGATCGATCAACGTCAGGTAGTCAGAGCCGTACTTTGCTTTTGTTTTTACTTTGTACACTACAGATTCATTTTGTACTAACAGCTCTTTTATATAAAAAAGTTCATTTGCGTACAAAAAACAAAATGCTACAAACAATTTTTTGCTAGATTTACACCTCATTCATTAGAGCCAACGTCGCAGACTAACACAAAAATGTCAATGCTGATCAGCTGTTCACCTCAGTGGACGTCAAAGCGTGATGGATACTCGTGAAATAGGATATATTAGACGCTTAAAGCCATGTACTGATATGTAACAACACCACGAACCGAACCACGCGACGAACCGCGTCGCGCTAGTGTAGACGGTGGAAAGAACGCCGTCGCGAACCTGATTAGCGTTAAGCTGGATCCAGACCAAGCGCGCTGCTCCGCGCTGCGCTGCTCTGCGCTGTGCCGCGCCGAAAAACACCGCGCGGCACTAAGTAAATTCGATGCAGAGCGGCGCAGAGCAGCGTAAAGAAAATTTTTGATTCGTCATTGTTCCAACTGGCTCGCGCGCGTTTTGAATTAACATGGAGTATTCCAAAAAAGTAAAAATTGTTGCTGCTATTATTATTATTAATCAAAATTTAAAACAAAAAAGCCAAAATAGAAAACGACGACATTGGGTAACACCGATACTTAAAAATAGATCAGTTTATAGTGGAACAAATCTATTAAGTGACATGTTCATTGGTGATATCGGACAATTCGAAAATTTTTGCCGTATGTCGTCTGCGGATATTGAAATATTATTAAATTTGATTGAGCCTGTAATACGAAAGAAGGATACAAACTACAGGGAATCTATTTCTCCCAAAGATAGATTAGCTGTAACTCTACGCTTCCTGGCCACGGGAGATTCATTCGCCAGTTTAATGTACCTTTTCAAAATATCTAAACAAAGTATTTCAACTATAGTTATTGAAGTTTGCCGGGCTCTTAATGAAGCATTAAAACACCAAGTTCAGGTAAGTCCCCTTTATTTAAAATTCTTTCTATACACTAAAATTTGAAAGAAAACTTTGTGCTGTGTCATATTGAGGCGTTGAAGGTTGGTCCATGTTATATAAAGACACAGACTGAGTTGTACATGGTTGTGGAGGAATAGGACTGGTTTGAGGCGTACCAACAATTGAAGAAGCGTTGCTTGAGGAGTATACATTTTGATATCTATACCTGTGCAGCTCATTGAACGTTTCCATCTCAGCTTCAAAGATCAAGTTATTGATTTTATGGATAAGGATAGCTCTACTTCTTTCATTTAATTTTCGTAGCTTATTAGCGACATGCTCTCCACATACTGAGCATTCATCGCGACTGTACGCAGGTTCGCTTGAAATGCTATCGCTGATGTCATATGCTTTACTCAATCTACGGTCTTCTGTTACCATTTTACGTTTAGGATTTTCCTTTGGGTAGACAAATATCCTTCGTTTGGCTATTGTATTTGTTCCATTGCTTTGACAGGAGGATTTAATGACATTTTCAATAGGTTGCTCAGTACTTTGTTTTTCACTTTGTAGTTCACTTTGATCATTGGTATCATCAACAGAAGGTTGCAAATTATCTTGCGAATTTTCTTCAGAGTATATCTGCAAATAAAGAAAATATTTTTATTTATTTTTTTTCCAGATGCCAAATACTACAGAAGGGTGGCTACAATGTGCTAAAGAATTTGAGGAGCATTGGAATTACCCGCATTGCGTAGCCGCTATGGATGGGAAGCATGTGATGTTACAAGCACCCATAAATAGTGGCAGCGAATATTACAATTATAAGTCATATTTTAGCATTGTGCTATTTGCACTTGTGGATGCGAATTATAATTTTATTTTCGCTGATGTGGGTACTCAGGGTCGTATATCGGATGGAGGAATATTTAAACATAGTCTAATATGGAAGAAAATACAAGAAGACAGTCTGAGCTTGCCAGAATCAAAAGAGCTTCCTGGGCGGGAAAAACGTATCCTTTACGTCATACTGGGTGACGAAGCATTTGCTCTACATGAACATGTAATGAAACCCTATTCTGGTCTTTATGAAAAAGGATCGAAAGAAAGGATCTTCAATTATCGGTTGTCAAGAGCACGGCGAGTTTCAGAAAATGCGTTTGGAATACTTAGCGCAGTATTTAGAGTTTTGAGAAAACCCATGCTCCTTGAACCTAACAAGGCTAGAGATGTAGTACTGATGACTATTTATCTACACAATTACTCAAGAAAAAGTAAAAATTCGAGAAATACCTATACACCTGCAGGAACTTTTGATAGTGAGCTAAATGATGGGACAGTTGTTGCTGGAAGCTGGCGGAGGGATGATGTAAACCAAACCTCAATGTGCAGGTTAAAAAAAATACTAAGGAAAAGTCCATCAAATGCTCAAGAAATACGAGAAGAATTTGCCGAATATTTTTTTACAAACGGCAAAATGACAGTGCTAAATCATAATCATAAAAAAAATATTTGTTTTTACTTACTTCTTCTGTGTTAAGAGTGTCCTTTGGTGTGTCCTTTTCTGACAAAAAATGAAAAAACTTGAATGCAAACCAATTTGAGATGTAAATATCTTCCCGCCCTAAAAGTGTTTACAAGATATAGTGTGCGTCTTTAGTATAGAGAGCACAGCATAGAGAGTATTAAAGCTAGCTATTTACTCCTACCTTTTCCAGTGCCGGTCGATTTTTTCATTTTCCCTTTTTCTCTTCTATATGAAGACAATAATGAAGTAATTTTAGATTTAACAGCATCAACATCGATTCCCATGTCCAAAGAAATGTTGGTCCAAGCATCATGCTTTTTAGTTTTAATGTGATATGTTTTATCTTTGGGATCCCACAATTCCGGTTTTTGGCGATATAGGTCTATCAATTTTTCAATAGCCCCATGTGTCCATTCAATTGAAGCACTCATTTTTTATTTCACTTCAAAAAATGTTTGCAAAACTTTATAAACACCTAATTAAATGACCAGCGTACGTTTTCACGTCCAAACCAAACAAGCACAAACATATGTTTTTCTTTGATGTACCGACAACTGCCGGATCGCGTTCGCGCTTGTTCAGAGCAGCGCAAATCGGCGCGAATCTGCGCGGGTTGTCGTACAAACCAAAAGCGCTGCGCCGCTCTGAACTGATTTGAACGGCGCGGAGCGGAGCAGCGCGTTTGGTCTGGATCCAGCTTTACAGCTCGCCGTTCGGCCCGATCCAGGTTCTATCGGTTTTTCAGCGCAACATCACAGTAATGGCTCGCGACGAAGTTGCACATGTCTGGACAGGCATACCGTTGCGGTGAGCACGCGCTCATGTCTGTAACTGGATAAACCCCGTGAAGAAAAGATGGAATGGTCGGAGGAGAAGCTCTTTTGCTTATAGAGCATTACAGAGCAGCGGAATTGTTTTGGGATGCAAAATAAATTTAAAAAATGATGCCTGGGAGTAGATAGCGTCCACAATGGGAACAACAGCAGGCGTATGTAAACGAAAAATGTCAATTCCGCTATCAAATTGTAGCAACCGTGTGATGATCTACTGTTATACACCTATAACTGCGTTTGCCACTATCGTCTCGGACCTCGTCATCACTTGTTTTTGGATAATTCGTAGAGAATATAAATATAGGCAGCTGCTGCTACTGCTATATTCATTTCAGTTAGTATTGGTCTTTCACTGAACGACAAACATCAATATGGGATCGTCATTTTATTGCGCGATGTGGTTGCACGACGTCATTCAGTTTGTGGTGATGCTCGTTGCAATGTTGTTCGTCAAAGTGCGCGCGCTGCGGTTCGTCGCGAGGTTCGGTTCGCGGTGTTGTTACATATCTGTACATGGCTTAAGAAACACATAACCTTACAATATGTGATCTGTATAAAATTATCTTTGTATAGTCGTAAATTGCAGGTATTCGATCCAACAAGTACTTGTGGAAGTATTCCTAGACAGTGGCACACCCAAGATGCGTAAAGGAAGTATTTACCCCCTTTCTGGATGACTTAAGTTGTCTTTGGGTATACTCCTAAAATAAATATATCGTCGCTTAAGTAGTAACTAAACAAATTAAGATATGCACGTATGAATAAGACCACCTTTGTGGCCTGAACGTCGTTAGTAAACAATTTCTCAAGCATTTGTGCTTTTGTTAACAGGCCAGACAAACCCCTTCTGTGACAACCCTTGTGTTGCACGCGGATCGTAACTTCAGAAGCTCAGCGCAGCTTTTTGATATAAAACTTATGTATGACTATTATATGTTACACATGTGTTGCACCTTAGAAAACTTTTTCAAATATGATTAGGGCCTCTGTGATGCCAAAGAACGAAGTTTGAGAGATTATAATTTTTTTTCGATATTTGCTCCCAGCTGCGCCACCACTCGTCGATTTTCAAAAATTATCAACGTTTACGTCCTTACCATACCAGTGGTCTTGTATAAAAATTTCATTAAGATACAAGTGGTACTTTCCAAATTGAGACGAATAATGAAATCTATGTATGTAAAGGAAATATGAAGGGTACGGGGAAAAAAGCTAAATGTTACAAAAGGTAAGTTTCGAGAAAAGTGAATTTAAAAGTTTGAAGGCTCTTAGACTTGTTGTACAGGGTGGGTCATAGATCTGACGGAGTACCATAGATTTCTTATAAGAAATTGAAAAAAGTAAAAATATTTTTTGATAAACAAGGGTAGCCCAAAAGTAAAAGCAGACCAAATATTTTTTAATTGCAAATAATTTTAATTTTTGTATTTTGAGATATAGAACAAACCAAACAAAATTAATGGTAACTGCTTAAAAATGTTTTTTTCTGTCGCAGATTGGTGTATGGTGAATTGATGTAGTAGCTACTGGTTTCGGGGAAAAATACAACGGCTGTGACATTCATCTTTTCTTTCCGACACGGCAAGTTTTCAATTGGGTGTAACTACCGACTGTCGTTGTTTTTGCCTCTTTCCGATAGCTCATGGGATTCTACTGCGTTAAGACTACATGTTGTCGGTTCAAACTACAAAACACCAAATTTGTGAAATTCATATTTCTTCCCCTGTACCCTTCATATATTTAATGCGTCTCACATTTAGTTTTTTTGTTTAGGTAAGAAGCTAAACCTATATTCAAATAATCTATTGTTCTTTTTTCTCCTTGGCGTAGCTTATTCCTATCAGTTTTTATTGTGAAAAATCTGGAATTAGTAACTTTATTCCCTCAAAATTTTGCCAAAGATTACAGGAAAATCACAACGTAAATGATTGGAGAAGAGAAATGTGTAGAAGCAGTTTGGGTTTTTTATTCTTTTGCTACCAAAAAAAAATCACTGTGCCTAACATTATCAGAAAACAAACAATGTAGCTTAATTTTAATTATGCAAAAACCTTGACAAATATACTACCTACCATTTCAGTAAGTCCATTCCTCTTGGCACACACCGTATGGCAACACTCACATTTCGTTGCAGTTCTACAAATATTCACATACATTTCTAACAGATGTACAAACAATATTGTTAATGGTTTTTGAAATCCACACAGAATCCTAAGATACTTTATATTTTAGGAACAGAACATTTTAGTATTGGTTGTTTTCTGTTGTTGTTATAATGAACAAAAGGAGACATGGTACCCTTGACTGTTTCTTTCTAAACAGAATAAATTGTCCGACCTACTGAAAGAAATTATAGTGTCGAAAACATAATCAAATGCTGGGCATGTTGGACCGACCATAACGTCAACTATAGCGTTCCAGTTGCAACTTTGTTGATGTATGCTGGACCAAGTTTTCAACAATTGGCCGCAGCCTACGATTCGAATAGATTAGACGGAGCCAAACCTATATGTTTACATTTCATTGTTTGTCGATAAAAATGGCTTATTTTAGTGCATACTTTTGACTTATTAAACCACCACTGCCCACAAAAAGTGACAGCGTTGTATCAACGTAATAATAATACCACTTAATTCAAGCTTAGCAGTCAAGCTCACCCTATCAAATCCATTCAGTTTATTTTGCGCCATGCATAAATTTTAGCGGCGACATGCCTTCCCGAGAAACAATTAATATGTTGAGGTAGACAATGATGCCTCATGACATTTAAAGCCATTTATTCGACGTACTTGAAAAATAATAAATAGGTTTGATGTTGTTTATAAAAAAAAAACAGTGAGACTTTATCTTAAATCTTTTAGATCTCATGTTTAGAGCAACTACATATGTTTTTTTGTAAAATATAGTATCGTTTTCTCAAGATTTAGAACTTGCATTACCACTTTAGCCTCCCCAGACTAGAATCCTGGGAGCTCACTATCCAAAGATAAAATTTCTGATAAGAACATTTCTCATAAGCCCAGCAATATTGTTTTATATTATGATACGGTTATTACCTTTGTTCGTCTCCAAATAAAACCACAGTATGAACAAAAGGATATTCGTGTAAATTCAATAAAATCTTATCCACAGTTCTTGGTGAACAAAACAGCACCTTCGGTCTGGACAACCTCATGACATGGTTCAACTCCCAAGGTGTATACTCAGGGTTAAAGCCCGTGAATGCAACTCCTTCGGGAAATCCTGCTAAGGGCACTGTATAGTACTCCAAACGATTTTCACTGTTCACTCCAGCACAGTCTCCAACACTAATATGTTGGTGTCTGTACCATTTGGCCAATTTGATTGCCCTCTTCAGCAAAGTATCTGCTGTGAGAGATTCACCAGTCAGACCATCCACTTGGATGACGTTTTGCTTATGAGACTTGATTAAGGGTAGTAGGTATTCTCCGGAAAAGCCTAGAATATAGCCAATATGGTGTTGCCCCTGATAGATTATTTTATCCATGGCAAATGACAAATGAAGATTTAACGATATTCTGCGATTTGAGGATCTATCAGCGGATTGTGACAATTTAAAATTTGAAATAATAAGTATGCTCCTTTTTGATTATTGTTTGTATTGTTTCTCTATCCACTTAACGTACATTAGGCGCAATACTCGTGGATACGTATCGACGCGATGAGCATCTGATCTACCATTTCAGCACTTCCCTATCTAATCATATGGACATATAAACCACAAGCAATTTCTACTAGACCGGCATGGTTGATATGAGGGAGATGGATTTAGGAAAGTAACTTCTGAAGATTGCCAAAAATAGTGAAAGTGATATATGAGCAAATAAAGGTCCAGAAACAGTGTATCCCATTGTAACCTGGAACATACTGATACCGTTCTCTCCCATTTCTAATACAGTTTAAATATAAACACGGAATAAGAAATATAGAGATGGTAGAAAAACCGCCCGACGACCACAGAGCACAAAACGTGAGACTATAAGGCAAAAGCGAATGGAGAAAAAAAATTGACAAATCCATAGCTTACAGATCACAGAATAAGTAAGAAGAGAGTGCAGACTAATAGCGTTGTATGGACTATGGTCAGCTTGGCTCCATGTTCCATGCTAGTATATATAGGATACCCTCCTAATGGCAAATATAACCACTGCTATTGATAGTGAAATTGGAAACTTTTGATATTCCTGGGAAGCATGCATTCCTGGCCATGTTATGGGCAAGTTCCCTTATTCCTGTCAGATGCCAGTAATTACTGGAAAAATGGCAACACTGATCACATAATATATATAAATACTGCTGCATAGAGTGCATTCGCGCATTGGGACTAATATAGATATATCAAGGTTTTCATGGACTAGTCGACCAGGATACTGGAAGCCGTTTTTCTCTATTAATGTAATTTTTGACACATCTTATCCTTTGTCGTGTTAGACGATTGGTAATACTCTAGGACATGTTAAAGGTCTAGTCAGTCCACGGTCGAGGATCCCGTAGTTGTATTGTCGAAGGATCTGTGACCTATGATAACATATGGATCTCTAGCTTCGTGGAGCAAGGCAGTATAACGAACTGGCCAAACCAGTGATGGGCGCGTTGTATATGTCGTGGCCATGCCGTGGCCATATCGTAAAATTGAACATTCCATGAAATGATCGGGCATTTCATAAAATGGTCGCATTGTCTATTGGAGAGATCATGATCTGTGTTGACCAGATCAATGATAACAAATTGTGTAGCGATATGATCAATCAAACACGTGGTTAATTCATAAGGTGGACAAGCATGTTGGTCAAATCGTACAATATTCACATTATCGATTTCACCGATAGAGGCACTGGCAGCGCATTGTTCACATTTTAACACGGCAGTTGTTAATAAAGTTGTTTTTCGAAGTGAACATTCTAATAACTCGTTACCAAACGAGAATTAAAGTTAGATTAAAAAACTGCATCATAACATTGCTCGAGCTGTCGAGTACTATCAAAAGTAGCGATCAAAACGTGAAAAAACCGTACAGTTCGGAACGTGTTTCACAGGTTAGTACTTTACACTTAGATTCATCATTCATTTATTTGAAGTCAAAATCATGTACCAGCTAAAATATTGTCTTTTTCTATCGAACTACTATGCACAACTCATAGCAATTTTTGTTTCATTTTTGAGATATATCTCAAATAAAGCAGGGTAGAGTGACCGCGAAATAATAACTTAATTATGTGATATTTGGTATGTTCAAAAATTTTATTTGAGACGTTGTGTGGAATTTAAGAATGTTTTAATATAATTATCTTATTTTAATTTCCTAAAGTAACTAGTTTTGATCAAAATGGTTGTCTAACGAAGAAAAATAAACGAGTTTGTAACATATTCTGCATATTTATTAAATATTCAATGGACCCGTTTAACGATTTGGTCATCCACTATTGATCGTATCATAAGGTAAGGTGCCCAAAGAATATTTAATATAAGCCCAGAATATGCTACGAACTTCGTTTATTGTTCGTTAAGTACGACAAATATTTTAATTGAAACTATAACTTTATTAATTAAATAATTGTATTAAAACATCTTAAATTGCACACTGTCACAATTTTTGATCATATCAGATAACACAAATTAAGTTAATTACCTTGCATGGTCATCCTACTCTCCTTTATTTGACATATTATCCGAAAATCAAACAAAAATTAAGATGAGTTTTACATATGTAGAATAATAGCAGTTCAACATACAAACATAATAACTTAGCTAGCACAAGCTTGTATGTGGATTACTGGAACTTTTTTTGCACCACACCAACTGCGGCTATAGAGGTTTTTCTTAACTTAGCTCCCTTGCACAACTACCTGAAGGCGAGGCAAAAAGGACAACCTTCAAGCTATATCATGTAGACAGACATTTTGGTGTGAACATACCGAACCAGCACCGTCTGGGAATGTGTTCTGATAAAATGCTAAAAATAACAAAATATGCAAAACCCTGCTCAACGATAATTTCGCAAAGGGATGAGCGGGAACAGCAGACTGAGCTACACAGATGGCATCAAGCCCCAATAGGTGCTGGTATCTTCGCGCCGAAGCTAAATACTGAGCAATCAGTCAGCCTAGGAATCTGGGCAGCAATTTTTCAGGCAGTTCAGGAGTTATGTCTTATAGAACTGTGTGCCAGAATGATCGCATAATTACAACTGAGGCACAGAACTATGAATATTGCTTCAGTTAGTCAAGCTGTGCTTGAAGCACCTGATTCCACGAACTCTACATCTCAATTAGTGTGAAACTATGAAGAAGCTCTTGGTAGCACAGGAGATGGAAATAAAATCCATCTCATATGACGGGAAATGAAACAGCAGTCATTCTGTCAAAGCAAACTGATCTCTACAGAGATCGATGGAAAGATCTGTCGATACTGGGCAAGCTAAATCAACCATACCAATTTTTACAAAAAACGTAACAGACTCACAGCTGCGACTAAATAGGAATAGCCTTCAAGCTTTAGTGGGACTGTACACAGTTAAATGCAAATTGCGTCACCAAATGAGCAGGCTGGGCAAGATGGAAGACGCTGAGTGCAGACTGCACATACTGGGAGACCAAATATAGTCAACGCCAAACAAAGTGGCGTGCACGTCATCAAGGTGGGTGTGTTGAAAAATTTACATTGTTGCCAAACTTTTTGTAAAATAATGAAATTTATTATTTACATATCTAGGTTTATAAGCAATATTAACCTCAAATGAGAACAAAAATAATAGTATAATAAAATTATAGATCTGTACTTGCATAATCATTAAGTATGACAATTATTGATCAGATGACACTATGAAACTACCATATTTAATTGATAGCTTAAAGGTACTGAATAAAAATCCAAATGGGGTCCTCGAAATTTTATGCATGGTATTTATTTTACAGAATTCATACAGAAAAATGCATTCTAAAATTAGGTAAGCTACTGGTGTAAGCTTTTTCTGTACAATAAAGTTAGTCGGAGTTTCTTTCTTCAGCGCTGTCTGAATCTGAATCTTCATCACTCTCAAAGTTGATTATTAAAGGTTCGATGTCTGGTCGATCAAAAATTCGTTCTCTTTCATACCATTTAAAAATTTCTTGCTCAGTATGTAGAACACTATTTTTCCACGTGTCTGGGGTAACCGTTTCTAGAGCCTCGTTCCACATATCCAAACAGTCTTTTTCACTGTTACCATCTCTACCAATATGTCTGTTATAGTAACCTTTTGCTATGCCCCAAATTAACTCAATAGGGTTAAATATACAATGGTAAGGAGGCAGACGAAGAACTTTGTGCCCATGTTGTTCCGCCAATTCATCAATCACGTATATTTTAGGTGGTTTGTTTCTAAAAAAGCAGTTATTTTAAGAATAGGAATAAACAAAAGAAATATAAACTGTCGACCAAAATATATATAATTAAGAAGCATTATGTACCGAGCAACAATACTCAATAGCTCTGTTTTAAACATTGTGTTTAAAAATGGTATGTTTTGATTTGTCAACCAGTCTTGGATATTTTTTTTTGTCCATGCATTGTTGGGCACTTTGTTCAATATCATGCTGTGATAAGGGGCGTTATCCAGTATAATCATAGATGGACTCTCCAATTTTTCTAATAACTGATGTTGAAACCATTTCAAAAAATTGTCCTGGTTCATCTCTCCATGGTAATCGCTCAATTTTGTTTTCGAAGAAAATATCGCTTCACTACCCTCATTAAACCCATTTTCATTTCCAGCATGTAATATAATGTATCTAAAATATATTAGTTTTAAATTTTATAGTGCAAATTGTGTAAAAGTACATACCTTTTACCATCTGTTTTAATAGCTTTCACGCTTTTTTGGTTTCCATTTTGCCAAGAGCGACCTATGGCCCCATTTTGAAATATCCAAGTTTCATCGAGGAAGACAAACTGGTATAAGGCCTCAACCTTGGCTTGATTGTATTGCCTTAGAAATTCCACCCTTTTCAAAGCTATACTTGGTAGTTCCATGCCTTAAAGACGTGGCACTACCATCAAATAATGCCCTATCTCTTAATCGAGACCATAAAGTTTGTATCGTAACTTGTTCTTCTGAAACCATGTGTAATATGACATTATAATTTAGTTAACAAATTAATGCAAATTTCTGATAAGTTATTATAATAAGATCTTACTTTTGTGATACATATTATAGATCACTTCTCGAATGGCACTTGTATCCAATGTCGCTGTGTTGGTTACACGTTTAATATAACTCCGCTTTTTCTTGGGCGATTCTAAATTTGCATCACTTTTCACACCCTCGGAAATACGACTAACTGTCCTTAAACTAATTTTTAAAGCAGCAGCAACACGCTACAAAAAATGAAATAAAATTTCACTATTATTAATATACATTACATATAATTATTAGTAACCTACCTCTTGAACAGCATTTAAAGGCAACAAAGGCCCGTTGTTGTCCCTTTCTTGCTCAAAGTAGTGCATTAACGAGGCCACGAGTTCCTTACACCGACTATTTAATTGTTTGGGCATCTTTATATACCAAAATTGCCTTTATCTACTCGTAAAATGAATAATTTTGTTTTGAAACAAACAGTTGTTGATTTACAGTATGCGGGGCCAAAGGATTTATAAAGATTTGAAATACCACAAATTGATTCAGTGTCAAAATTAATACAAATGTCAGTTCCCAGTTTAAATAAGTTTCAAGGTGACAATGTGTCAACGCTGCGAAATCGGTTTAGTGCGTTTACATGTCGATAAGTGATTGGAGCGTTTGCAAAACATTTTATTTCGCATAATGCGTCTAAATTTACCAGAAAGCAACTTATGTGATATTTTAATAACAATGTTTATATGACTATTAACCATAATAAGAGAGTAATGACCATTTTACCATTTATATATCACATTAATATGAAACTGCAATAGAGCAATTGTTTGTGATAGAAACCTAGGCATTAGGTCGGGGAATTTTTATCGTGATGACGTGCATGCCACTTTGTTTGGCGTTGACTATAGTTAAATACATTTTGTGAATATGCCCTGCAATTGTCATAGTCAGGTACAATACACTTGGAGAAGTAGTGCTCCAAGTAGAAGACCTGAAAGGTATTTATCCAAATTAGCTGACCGACTCCCCTATAAGTCATAATTACTGGGAGAAACATAAATAGATGTATAGGGGTGCCTCGCCCTGAGAATACGGATGGACCTTGATATTTGCATGTTTAATAGGATTTTGTGTACAATTTTGCGGATTTTTATGATTACGTCCTTCCTGAGAAAAGTTGCTACCCGCCGCTCTTAAAAAAGTCTTGGCGGTAGGTACACTTTCACAAAAAGTCGTCTACCGATGATCGCCCCCCCCCCCCTCCTTCCACTAAGAAAAATTCTTGAGGGCGCCCATGTCATAGACTATATGTTTTTTTAAGCTAGTACATAAGCTAAGGTCAGAAATGAAAAATTCTTGGTAGTTGTTTTAATAAATCTCTTTGTATCTTAACAAGACAATGGGTATAGTGATAAGATAATACATAGTATCTCACAAGTTGCAAGTCACACTTCAGAGTTCGAAATAACATGTTTATTCATTCTGCTTGCTATATTATACAGTAAGCAATCATGGGCGCCCATAAGGAGCGTTTAGGGGGTCTCAGAATGAGTGAGAATCTGGCTGCTTTCTGGAATTTGCTCATTTAAGTGACATTTGTGCACCATATTTAAAATTTTTAATACTTACCCGCTCCTTTAGACAAATTTTAAGTGAATAAAATACGAAAAAGTGAGAACTTTGAGCTGTGATAAGAACAGGCAACTCGTGACAGTATTATGTCAAGTTGCTAGAGAAATCAAAATTTTGAGGCCCTGGAGGAAGTGGGCAACACATATTATGTACCGCACATTAAGGAGGTCCTACAATCACGAGCACCATCTGCTGATGTAAAGGGGGTGAAAAGGAAACGAGGGCAGGCTGGCCTTAGACGCTCGTCGGCGCTACTTTAAAAGAGGAAAGGATGACTGCGGGTGCCTACCCAGGTAAATTTTTATAATAACAGAGTCGGATTTCGATTAGCGATCTAGCCTGTAAATAGTTTCCTATTTTGGTAGTCTGCAGGTGATAATTTAGTATTGTTCTACCCTTGTTATTGTTCGTCGGTATTGTGTTGTTGAATTGTTGTGCTGTACTCTTGTTGGTGTGATTGTCCTTGAGTGCCTTTTTTTTATCAAGGTTGATAATGGACAATAAAAGGTCATATGCGACAATTTGAATTACGAATGCAGTGAGTTTAATTCATGATGAGGACAACAATAGTGTGGAGCAGTTCAACTCTATAATCGCAAAATACATTGGGGTAAGCGAATAAATTATTGCAAGAATAGGTCATACCATGGAAGATGTGCTGCAGCTGTAGTGAGCCACAATACCGAGCGGCCTGTCTATGTGGTCCAAATAAATTTGCGTTCTAAACTTAGTCCAACCTCGCATATCATTGAGATCGAACAAAGACTCAAACGCAAGAATCTTGAAAAGAAACTCAGACCAAAAAAAGCTGATATAAAAATAACTAACATTTCGGATAGCAATTCCAAAGAAAATGAATAGTTTTATGGCGAATTCTGTGAAATACCTGACATGAACGACATTGATTTGGAGGTTGCTAAGCAAGAATTTTTAGGGAAACTTAAAAAAAGTGACGGCGAGATTTTGCAGATCGAACAAGTCACCAAATCACAGGACTGTACTTTGTGGCGTCTTCATCGGAGGATTAGGTTAACAGCGCCTCGATTTGGTGAAGTTTGTAGAAGAAGGCAGGCAGCAAGCTGTAAAGTTCTAGTAAACACCATCATATACTCAACAGAGTTTTCTAGTAAGACAATAAAAAAAGGCAATACAAAAATCATGGGACACGGCAGTTCAATCTTGTGGTTTGTTTATTGATCGCACACGTCCATTGCTGGCAGCATCACCTCCACTTACCTATTACAGTAGATAAGACATGTAGGTGCTTAATCCAGGTATAAGCCTACCTGTTTATTGCTTTGCAAAAACTACCTAACTGTTTCCTCTTATTTTGACCGTATAAGATATTTTTATGACCCTCCTTCAATTGTCACCATCTACCACAGGACCCTTGTAACCATAATTGTGTTTATTGACATGAATAAGAGAATTTGAATTTGAGTTCTTGAATTTATTTTAGGAAAGATATAAAATTATTTGAATACATTTGTTCTTAGTCGGAACGCACCGTCGCGTCGCTTGGACTGGCAGGACGAAACAGTAGATGAATTTCGCCCAAAAACCGATTTGCACTTCACACCCTCCGTTTCATTTTTATTATTTCCGAATGAAACTCTTGCAGCATACTAAAAACAAAGTCCACGGGGTGCAAGCGAACCACTTTTTCGATTTTATCCACTAGGATCTTTTTAAGATATCAAGAAGTTGAGCACAAATAGTAAGCATTTCAACCCACCATAATTCTTGCGCAAAGACAAAATTTTGTAAAAAGCTCTGATAGCATCCTAGCTAATTATGTCCTGCTTATATCCATGTCACGGGTCATGAAATTCAAATGAAAATGCAGGTATAAAATCTACCAAATTATAATTTAATGTATAATAATAATTTTTCCACGCTAAATTCCCCTATACTTGACTGGAGCGATATCCGAATTTATTCTTCCCTACTATCGGTAGTTGCAGATTTGTTGGCTCTTGGTGTCAAACCTATAGAGCAGGTACCAATTATTTCAAATCGTGAGCACATTATTCGTCGGATTTTCGTTACTTAAATTCCCTGTAATTACTGGGATCAGAAGCTTCTTAATAATAGAACGTGTTTCACTGATTTCAACCCCCCCTTTTTAAGCAGTACAATCTTTTATTATTTTATGTTAATGATTAGGAACCCCTGAAACGTCAAAAACGGAGTTTCAGCAATTGTTACTTTTTCTTTTTTGCCTATAGCACCGTTGCCACTGGACTAAAACTACAAAGCTATGGCATACTAGTAACCCCGTGTAGAAATTTCCTAAAAATCCGAGCGGTAATTTCCAAGTTCATGATGAGTGATACAGTTTTTCGTGATGTAGATGTCATATGACTTAAAAAAAACATAACATCTCATTTTAGAAATTTTTCACGATTACAATACTTCCTCGCCAATGGCGTGGGAAGTAAAACGGCTTTAAAATCGAGGAGTATCAGCGATCGCGATTATGAGTACCTATTTGCAGAATGCCTTATCTACGCCATATTATATGAAATAGGGCCAACAAATTATCTGAATACGTACTTTCTTAGTCCGTACATTGCTCCGCTCCGCTGAAAACAAAACCACACAGGGTGCTATGGAGCCACTTATTCATTTTTTTCTTGTGCAAAAACAAAAATTTCAAAAAGTGCTCCTATAGCACCCTGGGCAATTATCTTCTCAACATACTGTATGAATTTTATTCCAAAATATTGAAAAATAGAGTGTCAGTTTCGAAGCAGCTGAACCCTTGTAAATGGCTTGAAACCCACTGCGTCGGAGCCGCCTTAATGTGCTGAATATACATATAAAGTTCGCGTCTATTTTGATTACTTGTATTTCCAATAAATTGTCTTGTATGTATCGGTCCACATTTCGGTATAATCAAAATAATGCTTTTTCTGTCTTAGGTTTCTTGTAATAAGGTTTCATAGAAGAAAGGACAACAAAGTTATAAAAGGTGAATTCATATTTCTTCGTGGATAAAATATACCCTTTATTTATTTAACTTATCGTACACAAATAAGTACACACAGCATTTACATGTAAAAATATTTACAAACCAACATCTAATCTATCGATCTTTGTAAGGCAGTCTCCGTCTCATTCACTAGTTCCTCAAAAGCTTCATGGAAGCGTCACAGGCCCCATGCTCAGAAGCTTTTCCCCATCCATGTGAATGCAAATATCATAAAGGGTATGAATAGTGACAATTGCAAAGTACTGGTCACCTAGATGATATGTAACTCGACCCCTCGTGTGCAGCTTCATACGGACACCCATGTTTTTGGAAATAAAAGTACTAGACACAAAACATATGGAATTTGAGCACCGGTCAAATTTAAGGAAAATTTATATAGTTATAGAGTTCTGTTGCGATGTTCCAGTGGGCGCAGAAATGCCTTCTACCGGAGATACAGGGTGCTAAAGTTTGGTGCCTGCATATGGTATTTTACGAAAACTCACTTGTCGTTAATGTAATCAGGCAACTCATAATATAAAAGTTACTTGAATACTTACAATATAGGGTTAAGTGGAATAATAACCGACGGCTAAGCTTCGCCCTAGTAAAGACCAGTTATTATTATTATTATTAGTAGTAGTAGTATTATTATGTAGGGTTTCACAAAGAAAATGGAAAGTTGTTTAATAGAAGATATAAGATATTCAAAAACGGCTTGCGCAATAAAATTACATGATCAAACGAACTTACCTGTCGATCTGATACATAGAAAGGGAGGGAGCTATTTACTTCGACGAGGGCTTCATATAACTAAGATCTAACATCACTTACAGGTAAATTCGTTTGATCATGTAATTATGTTCCGTCCTCGTCGAAGTAAATATTTAGAATAGATATCGTAGATGTTCAAAGCTAGTTGCAACAATATACTACTAACGCTCTGCAATAGTAAACGATAGGTTGTACACAACTACACAAATTGTACGCAATGTATAAAGTCAACTAAATTTACATTTCCATTGTAACAATTCAAGTCAAGGCTTTTAGCAACAGGTAATATGAGGTACCATTTCATAGTAATTAGCAAATAACGTAATAACATAGTTATGTTTAAGGTGTGGAGACTTGGTTCACCTCAAATGAGACTTGAGCAAAGCTACTGCTTGGAGATTTGTGACGTATCTCAGAAAAGGCACTCCCGCCGCCAGCCTGAGATTACTATAATTTAGCAGGCGGAGAGGTGACGCATTTCATGTACTGTAGGTTGTCAATTGTGACACTCTCTGCTAAGACCGACTTCATCCATCTGAGAGTCGAGGCACCATGATAAGGTTACTGTACAGTGACATATAAATACTTTGACTGAACAGATATTTGGGCGTAAAATACGGTAAAACTTAAGTGGTTGCCACATGAGTGACCCCGAGACTTTCAAAAACTGAGAAATCCCAATTTCAGTATTATTCAACCCAATCCGGATGTTGTCTGTTTCAATTAGTTAGCACACTCTGACCTGAGGTTAGAGCTAGCAGTGTTGATTTCCTCATCCAAATATCTACAGAGCTTACCAGCAACTCCTTTGGTTGTTTGAGAACAACCACAGTATCTATATTTCAGTTGAGATGGCCGCAGCCTATAAATGCCCTTGAAAAACCATCTTGCGTCTGCATCGTTAGTAACATTTTGGGTAAAGGACTGATAGCTCAAACAATTATATCTTGATCTCTTATCACCTGTAAGGTAAGAAATTTCAAGGTAGGAAGCCAGACATGTATTTCTTCCCGACAAAGATCCTACCATAATCTAAGCCCACAACACATGATGGATTATCGATGCTGATTGGAACGACAGCTTTTCAGAGACGATAACCAGGGTAAGCTTACGAATTAGTGGGAGCGGCGTCCTGGGTCCCTCCATCAGATCCTTGCGTTACTTCTAGAAGTGAAATTTCAGAAGCACCGAATCTTGAACCAAAATCAGAACGGTAACAGGTGCAGCTCCCACTCCATTTTCACGTCCCAGTGACATAAAAGCTCATCTGTACCAGTATTACTCCTAGATTTTATATTTGACGCGTGGGCAGTGAGATTTCTCTCTTTATACAATTGCCGTAGTTTTTCCGCAACCTGGTCCAGACGTGGAAACCAAAAGCTCTCCATTCTATTGATGTAGGATGGAGTATAATATGCGACAGCCCATCAATCCGGTAGCAAAGCATTCACCAGAGAAGAAAGCTACCAGTGGTTCTTGATGATTAGCATTCGGGATTTTCTTCATGAGTGACCAAAAACTAGAGACTTTTCCCTGGCGAACGAATGTCCCAATCCGAGAAATTATACAACTAAAAATTGGACAACTCAATACCTCTGACCTCATCTGCCAGTTTCTTTGAGCCACAGCCGAGGTAAACCTTAAGATATATTATGTTTGTGGCATAGTAACGTTAAAATTTCCTTGAGAATTTTATAAGGCAAGAGATTTCACTCGTTAGTGTATAGTTGGCTGTAACGAAATGAAAGACAAGCTGACACCAAGATCCTGATGTTCACCGCAAAGTTTCGGACTCTGTCTTGACTGCTGTCCATTATTGCCCTTACCAGGTTTAGTAATGTCTGCATCGTCCGCTCAAGTAAAGTTACTTTCTTTCTGTCACAATTTAATACTGCTCAATTGTTTCTTAAGGTATTTCAGAAATGGTTTTATTAACTTTGTGAAAGCATAAGGGGCATAATTTACCCTAAACGGTACAACATCGTATTGGAAGAGCTGTCCCTTGAATACGAATCTGAAATATATTCTATGACTCTTCCTAACCGGTATCAAAATCCCTGCATATTCCAAATCCAGATTCGTTAAGAAACTATCTCTACGGAGAATTCCGATTCCAGTTCAATAGCTTAGACTTAAGTGTTCTATCCTTATAAACAAACAAAGTGTCTTAAGCTAAGGAATCAAACGTGTTGACCCATCAGACTTGGGGGGCAAGAAAAAGTTGGATAAATGCTGATTGTTAGTTAGCTCAACTTTTTTACTGATGCCACCGCAACTAAGCAATTCATAGATAGACTAATGAGATTCAGCTATGGCCAAGTGCTAAACAAGTCGCCATCTGAATGGCAAGTAACTACTTGAGTCCAACTCAGGACTTTAGCGCCACTCCTAAAGCTCTGCCATTGATGATGAATACGAGTTAATGTCCAGGCTGATCTACACACCTCATCTGCAGTTGCTGCTCAGTTTATCTGATCACTGGAAGCCTCTGAGTCCTTTGCTTTAATGTGAATATCTGCCAGCATGCACTCCTCTCCCTTCTTTGAACCTAGAGGATAGAGTATTGTCACTTGCAGTTAGTGAACGGCTCACATGTTGACCAAGCACGCATCCCTGCGTGCAACAATTTCTATTATGGCTTCCGTTACCTCAGGGTTCACCCTAGGTGGCTAGAATAGAACATAATTTATTTATCTATCATCATCAACAAGATCTGCCTTCGAAATGTCAGCCTTAGAATAACTCGCGAACATTAATTATGCTAAGGTCGCCGCATCATCGTGGTGATGCGTTATCTATTGAAACAGGCTACATGGCCTTTAAGACAACACATTCCAGAGCGCCCTGCGGTTTGAGTGAGACCTATGCAAAATGTAACGTTAATCGGGCATAATGATATTTGACCTCCGTTATTACTGAACATTAGAACTTTGGTGGTTTGCTAATCGGTTATATTCATACGTACAGTCCTGTTCCATAGTTGTCACCAGCCAGATGGAATTTGCTATCACAAGCAAAATGTAACGCTAGTCTACCATAGATGTACCTTCTATGTCGTTAATGAAAAATAGTACTTCAGCTGTTTCGTAACCTGTCATGTGCATATTATTGACCTTGTTCGAAGGCTATTCCAAACCATATAGAATTTGCTATCACAAGCAAAATATAACGGTATTCTCACATAGATCAAACCTAATCTTCATCTGTTATTAACGAAAAATGGTACTTTAGTGGTTTCCTAAACTGTCATGTGCATTCTGACAAAGACGTTCCAAGATTATCACAAACCAGATGAAATTTGCTATCACATGCAAAATGTAACGCTAACCTCGTATAAGGTGCCTATTCCTTATCTGGCGATAAGAAAAACATATACTTTGGCGGTTTTCTAACCTGACATGTTCATAATTACGCACCTGTTCCATGGTTATCACAAACGACGTGGAATTTGTTATCACATAGACGTACCTAATCTCTGTCGTTTATTAATGAAAAATGGTACTTCGGCCTCTTCATAACTTCTCATGTGCATCTTTACAATATTGTACCATAGTTATCACAAACCAGATGGAATTTGCTATACCAAGCAAAATGTACCGCTAGTCTCACATAGATGTACCCAATTTTTATCTGCTATAAATGAAAAATGCTATATTGCTACATTGCTATCACAAACCAGATGGAATCTTCTCTCCCAGACAAATGTACCGCTAGTCTCACATAGATGTACCCAATTTTCATCTGTTATGAATGAAAAATGCTATATTGCTACATTGCTATTACAGACTAGATGGAATTTGCTATCTCAAACAAATTGTAACGCTAGTGTCGCATATATAAACCTAATCTCTATTTGTTATTAATGAAAAATGGTACTTCGGCGGTTTCCTAAACTGTCTTGTGCATTCTTATTATGCTGTTCCAAGAATATCACAAACCAGATGAAATTTGCCGTCACAAGCAAAATGTAACGCTAACCTCGCATAACGTACCTAATCTCTATCTGGTAATTTGGAAAAATTATATCTTAACAACTTCCTAGCCTGCCATGTTCAAACTTACAGTCCTGTTCCATGGTTATCACAAACCAAATGAAATTTGCTATCACAAGCAAATGAGAAAAGATTGTTGACCATACCTTGTTGTTACGTTGTTCCAAACGCTTTCGGTGTTGTTATTTGTGCAACAAAGTTCAGTATTGAGTCATTTTTCCAAATATCTTCAGTCGTCATTGGTGTGGACTATCACAAGCTAGGTCCATGTTCCTATCCCAAGCAACCGAGTCCAATGTTACAACGATATCCCAAATGTCTTCGTTTATCCTTGGTGTGGAGCTGACTATCTCAAACCAGGTCCAGGTTGCTATCCCAAGCAACCAAGTCTAATGCTTCCACATTATCCCAACCGTCTTCGTTCGTCCTTCGTGTGGAGCTGACTATCCCAAGCCAGGTCCACGTTGCTATCCCAGGAACCGAGTCCAATGTTTCAGCGTTATCCCAAACGTCCTTGTTCGTCCTAGGTATGGAGTTGGCTATCACAAGCTAGGTCCAGGTTACTATCCCAAGCAACAGTGTCAGAACGTTATCCCAAACGTCATGTTAGGCACAATCTGCAGCGCCGGTGAGCCATCCATACTAATATTCATTTAAGTTGCACCTACAACAGATCGGTTAGTTGACAGTTACCTGATGGTGACGCCCCTTCAGAAAAAGAGGTCTGCATGCCAAGGGACGCGGTGCTGCTTTCCTTCTCTGCGTGTGCGCTTTGAAATCGTGGCGGTTAGGTACTACTACGAGGGTACTACGATATGTATTATAAATATTTACTTCGACGAGGACGGAACATAGATAATTGTCGTCTTATAGGTATGAATCTCTAAATTACTTGTAAATATACAGGATGTTGGACAATTCCGTGGCACAACAAAGATGCTTCTTTTAATGGAACACTCAATATTAATAAGAACATTGATGCAATATGCTGTAGAAATATTATGTTATTTTATTATTGGTCTGAAAAAATGCCTATTTTGAAGACTTTGACTTCTGCCATTTTGCTTTGTTTTTCACTGGATCTTGGAGATACGGTGAACAAATGTTCCAATCTTATCAGAATGATTTTCTCAAAAATGTTGAATATATTTTTACACCATCAGATTCGCCTTTCTATAAGTAACTACTGATATCAGATTTAATCAGTGTTTATAGAGTGATTATCTAATTATACTTAATAAAAGATAAGGCATGTCATTAAAAACTATCCATTTTTACTTATATATATATATATATATATATATATATATATATATATATATATATATATATATTATATGCTCACGTGATCGTTATCGTTAATCCTACAATAAATACGAAATAATTTTCTTATAATGGTACAGGTAAGCTTATGCACAGGGTCTAGGGCACCAAACTGTATCTCTATTTCCGGACTTTGCGCCCATTGGAACATTGAATCAGCACAACATGAGCTACTACTATACTAATTTTTAATTAAATTGACCGGTGGTCAAACTTCATATGTTTTGTGCCTGGTACTTTGTAAGACATTTAAAGCTTGGCTTTAAGTTGCGTAGCCCTTTCCTTCAAAATCCTCCTTAATATTTTGCCACTTGGGTTTCTCGGTATCTCAGCTACGAATATAACTCCTCCTCTAAGTCTTTTTGCTGGTGAAACATGGTCTTCTACAAACTTCTCAACTTCTCGTTCTGTTAAATTGCTATCCATCTTCTTCAAAACAAAAGCTAATGGGATTTCTCCTGATGCCTCATCCGGTACACCTGTCCGGGATATAAGAAAAACCAAGTTTTAGCAAAAAATCCTTCGGATACATTTGTCGAAAAATCTGTTAGTATTTTGATTGTAATCAAAATTCTGTGCCGACCCAAAACTCTCAGTTCAGTATTATCAGCTCTTCTAAAATGACAAAAACAGCTAAAACAAACGAGTCCTTCTAACTGTCTTCAATAAATGTAAGACGCTGTTCCAAAAAAAGGCTAGGTTCTCTGTAAATTGAGTTCTACCTACCCACAACAGCGACGTCGTCAATAGAGGGATGAGTTATGAGGAGTGATTCAAGTTCAGCGGGTGCCACTTGGAATCCTTTGTATTTGATAAGTTCCTTCTGTCTATCTACAATGAAAAAGTAGCCGTCTTCATCGTAGTACCCGATGTCGCCAGTATGAATCCACCCATGTTTATCTATGGTATTCTTCGTGGCCTCCGGATTACCAATATACCTGTGACAATATTTTTATAATTGAAAGCACATATTTTCTAGTGTAAAATAAATCATTTTTTGAAGTGTCTTCTTGCAAAAAGTGCATAATATACTGAGTGACAAAAAAAAGTTAACACCTACGTATGTTTATTAGGATTCAAGAATTTTTTACATATCGATTTATCTTGCCATGAGCAACAAGTGATAACATGGTCAGGTTTTTCTGTTAAGTTTTTGTGGTGGCTGCGTGTATTGTTTGGTGATGAAGATACATCTAGTTTTCGTACATTTCGGTGTCAGTTAAATGTTAAATTTTGTGAAGCTTATTGGGAAGCATTTTTGTGGCCGCTCAAAATGACTAGAGTGACTAGAATTCGCCGAGTGTCCCAGCTATGTAAGTGACTTTGAGAGGGGTCGAATTGTCGGGTTAGGTGAAGCCGGTCTATTGATAAGAGAAATTTCTAGATGAACCAACAGATCCTTACCCAGTGTACTGCAGTTTGAACGAGCGTGGACTCAGGAAGGCCAAGGACAGCGAGCGAGGGGTTCTAGACGTCCAAGATGGACCACAGAGCGACAAGACCGCCGGTCAAGACTTCTGACTCTGAGAGACAGATTCACTAGTACCCGAGTCGTCGCTAGTCAGTAGTTTGAAGCGCATAGAAGGATGGTTGGTATGAGTACGGTATATCGCCGAATACGACAGTTTGGCATTTTTTCTTATCGCCCACATTGGGTGCACCTCTCAGAGCTGAACATCGGCGTAACCATTTGCTCCGGTGAAAAGAAAGAATTCTATTGGACCGGGAATGGCGTCAGGTGGTCTTTGGTGACGAATCCTCTTCTGACAGTGGATGCACGATGGTCGATCAGGAGTGAGAAGGCGACGTGGTGAAATACAGAGAGCGTCACGTTCACCACACCGTGGGAGTTATGGTATGGAGTGCTATTGCTTATGGTATCAGATCACCACTAATTTTCATCCTAGGCAATATGACAGCCCGAAGCTATATTCAGGATGTAGTGGAGCATCATCTTACTCCATACCTAAACACCATCCAAAACCCGCTTTTTCAGCAAGACAGTGCCAGACCACATGTTGCCAGAGCATCATTGGCCTTCATGGATCAACATCGCATCAACCGTTTACCTTAGCCACCACGATCGCCTGACCTATCTCTAGTTGAACATGTCTAGGACATGATAGGTCGTAGGTTCTTGAATTTGCCACACCGTCCACATACTTTAGCAGCTTTTACTCACGAAGTTGCAGTAGCCTGGAATGAGATACCCCATCAGGATATCGACCACCTTATCAGCACAATGTCCAGGCGTGTCAATGAGTGTATAAGAAATTGTGGATCCTCAACACATTATTGAACCAGCTTCTGCAATCAGTTGACGAATCAAGCTGTAAATTTAATCATCTTACTAGTAAGGGACACTGAACATACGTATATATACCAAAACTTATTAAAATCGGATAAACATACGTAGGTGCTTTTTTGTCGCTCAGTATAGCTAAACTATTTCGGTGTAGTACCTCTATTCTGAAACAGAGTAGATCTTGGTTCATATTGAGGCTCACCAGCTGTTCAATAATACTAAAAAATCTGTTTATCTATCTATATCTATTTACCATGGGTAAACTCACCCTTTCATAACCAAAGGTCCTTTGAAGCAAAGCTCTCCTCTTTGGTACTTTCCCAAACTTCTTCCTTGCTGATCAACCACCTTGGCCATCATACCAGGTACTACCTTGCCGCTAGAACCAATCTTTTCTAAACCACCAGGGGGTACAGCAAGCACTGAGAGCGTCGTCTCAGTCATTCCATAGGCCTGAGATACATGTTCTGCCTGAAACTTTTCTTTAAGTTCTTTCTGTATATCTGCGCTAAGTGGAGCAGCTCCGCTTCTAATTTCTTTTATGGATGACAGGTCGTACTCCTTCACCAATGGGTGTTTGATAAGGAACAGTATCAGTGGTGGTGGCACGGAAAGCCTAGTTACACGGTATTTGACTAAGGCTTCTAGGAACGTTCTTGGTTTGAATTTATCCAATAGTATCAGCGATTTGCCTCGTATTAAGTTCATGTACATCAATGTGAAACCAAAACCATGGAATAGTGGCATCACAACTAACATCGCGTCATAGGGATCTGGACTTAACATGATGTCTCTGAACTGAGTGAATGTAGTTTCAGTAAATGAGGTCAAATTGAAATGGGTGCACATTACACCTTTGGGAAGCCCTGTAGTTCCTGATGAGTATAGTATCGTAGCAAGAGTTTCTTTTGAGTCAACTGGAACTGCTGTGTAAGATTCATCCAGTTCTTCTTTGTTAACGTTTCCCATTATTTCGTTAAACATTACCACTTTTGGATGGTACGACCTAGTGCAACAAAAAGGAACGATTAACAATATATTTGAGAAATACTGCGTCGATAAGTGTCGCGTTGCATTAGTCATAAACTAATGTTCTATAACTTGCTGGTTTTTTGCGATCTTTTTGCTGACGAACATTACAATAGTTACGTATGCGATGTTCTGATATGCCCCTTTACATCATCGGAATATTGGACCACTCTGATAAAATTCACCAATGGAAAGCTTTTGTAGTGGTTTATACATTTTGGGAAACACATTTGTTAAATCCTAATAAATGATAATATAAAACACTTCAGGCGTACAAAGTTCGTGTTGTACAGGGTGGCCCATCCATGTGTGGACGGAATATTACTCATAAACAAATACATTTTGGGAAAATATATTTATGGTAAGTTATACATGACATTTGAGGGCACATTTCTAAAATATTGGCCATTATACAGGGTGTCCCAATTTCTACCTACATATCAAAGCTGTGATTTTTCAAATGGAATGCCTCAAATTCTATTGCATATTTGGAAATACCAATTCAAAAGAAGAAAATTGATATAACATACTATGGGGTTTTGGTAATTATCTACTGAGATATAAGGTGTTTTGTACCCCCCAATTCGGTAACCCCTCAGTCCGCCATTTTGAAATTTCGAGTGCTGGAATTTGTATGAAAAAAACTTACACACCTCAGCTTTTATCTTATTTGTCACTTTTTTGAATTTTGATTTTTGCTCATACAGGGTGGTCAAAAACGCAAATTGTAGTTTTTCTCAAAAATTTCAAATGCTGTGTTCGTGATCGGCCCAGTATATTTGTGCAAGTTTTGATTCAATTTTTTATAAGCGTTTTACGGATATTTTTTCGGTTATTAGCACGTCTTTTGTGGAACGGCTTAATTCCCTAAAATATCGCATCATCCTTGGAAACAACTAAATTGTTGATTAGTTACAAACTGTCAAAATTAGCTTTGTGAGCATTATAATAAAAACGTGTTTGAAAATGATTTTTCCTAAAGACGAAATGGTGAATATGGTGTTCGTTTTGGGCGAAGCCCAAAGAAATAGTTTCCTAGCATTTATAAGCAACGGTACCCTAATATGGGACATCCAAGGCCGGAAACATTTTCCACACTACGAGAACGTTTTAAATCAAGTGGAGCAATGACATACAGTAAAAAATTTATAAATAATCTAAGTGTCACTAATGTGTCGAATCAGTTGGAGGTTCTATTAAAGTTGTAAGAAAATCCCCATTTAACTGCACGGCAAATTTGAGCAGAAACTGATATAAGCAGAACTTCTGTCCAAAAGATTATTCACAATCATAGGTACCATCCATATCACCTATGCTTGGATCAAGGCCTTCGTCCTCAGGATTTCGCAGCTCGAATGGAGTTTAGTAGAATAATGCTAAATAAAGTGAGTGAAGACAGTACTTTCCTGGATAAGGTTCTTTTTAAGCGATGAGGCAACTTTTAACAGCATAGGTGTTGTCAACAGGCATAACATGCACTATTATGCGACGGAACACCCTTACTGGGTTAGGCAAATATATTTCCAAAATAAATGGAGCTTGAATGTTTGAATTGGCAGACAAGTTATCGGGCCTTTCTTTTTCAACAACAGATTAACAGGTACAGAATACTTGAATTTTTTGATCGGGCATTTGCCTTTGCTTATGTACTTCCAACATGACGGCGCACCTGCGCATTATCATAATCGTGTGCGTAACTATTTGGTCACCTGGAGTAACAATCGTTGGATCGGTCGTGATGGGCCTATATCTTTGACCACGCTGTATGAGCAAAAATGAAAATTCGAAAAAGTTAAAAATAAAATAAAAGCTGAGATGTGTATGTTTTTTTTTGATACAAAATTCAGCACTCCAAATTTCAAAATGGCAGATTGAGGGGTTGCCGAAGTGGACGGTTTTTCTGGACAAAACACCTTAGTTTGTTATATCAATCTTCTTCTTTTGAATTGGTTTATCAAAATATGTAATAAAATTTGAGGCATGCTATTTAAAAAATCGCAACTTTGATATGTAGGTCAAAATTGGAACACCCTGTATAATGTGCCCTCAAATGTCGTATAACATGCAATAAATAGATTTTCCCAAAATGTATTTGTTTATGACTAATATTCCGTCCACACATGGATGGGCCACCCTCTACAATGAGGAACGCGTTTAAAAAACAAAAAAGTATCTAATTACACACTCAATGAACTTCATGTATAGAAAAGTCGTGATCATTCTGAGCAATCCAGTTTTCAGTCCAGATTCTGGAAATATTGCAGGATATTTGAAACACGTAAAAATATAATGACATTCAAAAAAGATATATTGTCTTTGTTTTCTAGTTATGTTTGCACATAGATGCATAAGTGCGGCCAACTTTTGGAAATTATTTTTTTATGGAAATCGACTTCTCTGATAACCTAAGACTATACGGTAGGCACATTCTAATCATTTTAGAAAGGGGGAGATGTTGATTATGGATAATGCCCGAGGGTGTCAAATATTGTACTATCTGGTGATCTACATTTATGCGTTTTAAAATTGGTACTCTAGATGGATGCAATATCAGTATCATGGTAATATTGATATTACTATCATCATATTTGTTGAAACACGCTCCAAACTCATTTATTAAACGTCGTAAAAAAATCAGAATTAATTATGAAAACATTTCCCATAAAGTTAACGATATTATTTTATATTATTTAAAGCCACACTATAGCCTTTATATTACCTGCGCTCTTTTCCAAATAAAACTACAAGTTGGATGAACTGATACTCATGTAAGTTCAACAACACCTTATCAACAGTCCTATATGAGCAAAACACGACCTTCGGTTTGGACAAGTTCATCACATGCTTCAACTCCCAAGGAGTATAGTCAGGGTTAAAACCAGTAAATGCGACTCCTTCGAAAAACCCGGCTAAGGGCACTGTGTAGTACTCCAAATGATTTTCACTGTTCACTCCAGCACAGTCACCAACACTAATGCCTTGGTATCTGAACCATTTAGCCAGTTTAATTGCCCTCTTCAGCAAGATATCTGCTGTGAGAGATTCACCAGTCACACCATCTACTTGGATCACATTCTGCTTGTGAGATTTCATCAAGGGTAGCAGGTATTCTCCAAGACATTGGAAGATTGTCCTCTCTAGAGTTGGACCCACCAGAACATTTGGATCTGCCTCCGTCATCTTTGAATCTGAACCACAGCAGGCACTACGTATTAGAGATATACGACACGACTGGTATGAAGTATTAAAGTGTTGTTTCTAAGGCGAACCAGATGAACTTTGTTTGCTTCTGCTGATACAGTGAACGTAAATCCGACGATAAAAATTCTCAGTCAAGAGCTTTATAGTCTAGTCGATTAAATAACCAGATGTGCAATGTACAAAAACTTTTCTCAACAGTTCCGTGTTTACCCCTTAGTTGGCAAGACTTCTATACATCACAAATTATACAGCTAATTGCAGATGAGGTTCTAGTTGTAACATAAATATTTTCTTCATTAATGCTCACATCAGCTACATTTTCTTATAAAGGGATGGTAAATGCAACCCTCCACTCGGTAATACACAGGTTCCATAACAAAAAAAGACAGAATTATGTTCACATTTTCATGAAATCCTCGTTCAATAATTGACCTGTTTCCGATTATCAATAAACATCAACAGAAATTGAGATAACAAGTTTTGGAATATTGAAATCAGAAAGCATTGCTACAATTTAATTTATGTATCTATACCATGTAGCAGTCGAAGCCAAGGTTCAAAAAATGATGTGTTACAGCTTGAGCCTCAAAGACGAATGCGAGAACCACGGACTATTAAAAAATATAGACCTACCTATCTATTTTTGAAGAGACCTCGTCAATTGGCCATGTAACATGACTCTCAAAGGAGGCTGGCCAATATCTATAGTTGGTATTCACACCGGTGTTCAATACCTATTAACAACGGCTACAGGTGCATATGCACCCACTAATATTTCTTCCAGAAATGTAATAGATACATGTATAATTAATTTTTGAGGAGTCTCAGTGTCATCAATTTGGATTATTAGTTAAGTAGTGCTTGTAAAGTTGACGTATTTTTTTTTTACCGAGGTATTGAGAATCCGATTCAAATCAGAGCTTCTTGATTTGACATGTTTAGTTGAATGGAAATAAACTATTTTTTTACTACTAACTAGTAAAATCGCCTTTACTCGCAATGCCTTATTGAAAAGTATCATTTGTCTTTTTATGTAAATAATGGAAACAAAAAACACCTAGGTAAATAATAATATGATCTTATCTAAACGACTAAAAAAGCTTGAGATAATGAGCCGTATTCATAAAACACAGGATATCCTTGTACTTGCAAATTTTGAAGGAAATCCTTCAGATGGTATTTATAATAATTTGGAGTAAATGCTTTTGCTTTTTGAGTATAAGCATATCCTTCTAAGCAGTGACGTAAGTAAAAGCATATTCATAATCTTCACCTTATGGGGCCGTTCAAGTATTACGTGAGCACTACGGGGGGGCGAGGGGTCTTTGCTTCGCTTATTTTGGATGACATGGGGGATAGGCGAGTCTAGATGATGATTACGTCATCGGTAGTTATTTACTTTTTTACACGAATGGCAACCCTCACATTGTCCTTGCTTGAAAACTAAACGCATTTTCGGGGATTCCCGCAAATAATGCATACGTTTTGTGAACAGCGCGCGGCAATTCCCCTACTCGCTTTAGAACCGAGTAGGGGAATTACCGCGCGGTGTTAACTTGCCTAAATTTCCTCTATCAGTGTATTGTTTCGTTGGGATACTATAGCGAGTAGACGTATTGTAAGCATAGTAAAGAAAGTTTTTGTGTTACCATTGATTCCATTAGCCAAAGTTTAATGTTTAAATAAGATATCGTTTCATATAGACAAATCCAAGTTATACCAAAAATTGTTTGAAAGTTTAAAAAAAGCTCATACAAGTACGAAAGTACAAAATGTACAAAAGTTAGTTAACGAAGTTTGGCGAAATTACAAATTACAAGCAAAATCCGACAAGGAACTAGATATTATTGTATCTAAGAGAATCGAAAAAGAATTGCAAGCGGCGACTAAGAATAAATCCAATCTACTAATTTTTTTTCTAAGGTGAGTGAAGTAATCATTTTAGGTACCTATGAGTACTAGAAATATTAGAAATCGCCAAAAAGTTTCTCTTTACTGATTAGAATATATTATGGCCTATCTCAAAGTATAGAGGTAATATTCATTATATTATAGATTTATTTCTTATGACTGATTCCGTCAATTAGTACAGGATGTTAGTTTTATACATATATACAGAAAACTGACACCCTGTATTTTGTGACCGGAACGAATTGCATATTAGATTTAAAGCCATGGGGTTTTGTATTTACCATATATATTGCCATACTTTGTATTTATGTAGCTTAATAAGAAATCTTTGGCAGAAGCCATACAAAGTTTTTATTTTTGGGCAACCTGTAAACCTGCAGAAAAAACTCAAATTATACAGTCAGCTTCAAATATCAAAAAGGAGGAAGAAGATATAATAAAACCCGGTAATGAATCACAATAGCAATGCGAAATTAATGAAAATACAGATAAACAGAGAGCAAAACCTTCTCAGGAAGCTATGAAAAATAAGATTGCTCTACTCAGAGATACCATGCCAAGCCGTGCTGAAGTTGATAAACAGATCATTAAGTTGCGCGAGGAAATAAAAACAGCAAAACAGTCTTTAAACAGGAAGGTTCAAAACGCAGTTGCCAAGAAGAAACACAGGGATAGTATGAAAAGAAAGTTAGAAGATATTTGTCATGAAAATCCAGAAATAAAAAAAATACTATCTCTGAGGGATTCAGTGGGACGTCCTAATCCTGAAAGCAATCAACATTCACTATTGAAAACAATCGCGGATATAGCTTTATTTGGGAGTGCAGCAGATGATAGAAGACGAACGGAATCAATTCGCAGGTTAAAAACTCTTGATGAACTCACACAAGAATTACGTAAAATAGGATTTGACATTAGTCGCAGTGGGACATATCTTCGTATGATTCAAAGAAAACCTAATTCTGCAGAGGGACGAAGACATGTATCGGCAGTCCCTGTTAAGCTCATTAGGGCTCAAACTGATCACCACAAGAGCCACTTAGTTAGCAAGTTCGCTGAAACATCAATCCATTATTTAGAGAACATAGCACCCATACTTGGACCAGATGAAGTATGTTTCATATCTCAAGATGATAAAGCTGGAGTCCCTATTGGCGTCACTGCGGCAAATAAGCAAGCACCTCTTCTAATGCACATGGAATATAGAATCAAATTTCCTGATCACGATGGGTAATCGCTGAGCGTCATAAATTAATACCATCTGTTTATGCTGGCATCAAAATCACTTCCAATATGCCAGGACAACCGCAAGCCGTTGGATATTCTGAACCAACATACATCGCTATTCGAAGTGGAAAGCATAGTTCATCTACTGCTAATACTCATGCTCAGGATTTAGAGACGCTTCTCGAACTTGAAGAGTTTCGACCATTAGCTAAAACTGACCATGGACTAGTAAAACCAGTGGTAATCATGACGGTTGATGGAGGTCCAGATGAAAATCCACGTTATCAAAAAGTCATAGGGTTTGCTATACAACACTTTGAGCGACATCTCGATGCATTGTTTTTAGCTACCAATGCTCCTGGAAGAAGTGCGTATAACATGGTAGAGCGCAGAATGGCTCCTCTTAGTCGGGAACTGGCTGGTTTAATATTGCCTCATGCCATTTTGGGTCTCATTTGGATGAACGTGGCGTTACAAGTGATGAACATTTAGAAAGATCTAATTTCGAATTTACAGGAAATGTATTAGCTGAAGTATGCGTTCAAATTGTAAAATGTAGAAATACAGAATGCTGTCGTCTAAGAAGTGGCCTATTTAGATTACTAGACAATAGGTTTCTTACACCACCTGTAAAAGTAAAACAAACAGTTGATGACTTGGTTTTGGACGGACGAGGGCAATTTCTTAATCTTCCAGTCAATTTAGCTCTACGCTTAAGTGCTTTACTCAAAGATTTCCTGCAAATGCCCTACGATTATTTTTGTCCGACAGTAAAATTGAGGCTATCAAGTCGAAGATGCAGAAGGTGTGGTCTTTATCATGCTTCCGTCAAGTCACTAAATCGTCACATCGAAAATATCCATAAAAAAGTACACACTCACACTGATAGGAAGGTTAGACCTGTAAGAGTCGCTGCACGTCGTGCTAATGAACTGATGTGCATTATTCAAAATTTAGAGCACCATGATGTTGAATGGCTCGATGAGAACGACGTAGACATTCCAAAACCCCAATGAAAGCGAGCAAACTGACAACACTAAGCGGCAATCGAAGCAATCCAATGTCATCGAATACTTAGAATCATGGATTCGGGTTTCATGGACTGAAGACTGTTAATTAGAATTTAATATATGTACCAAAAATTTAAAATGACTTTGTTATGTTAGTAAGATATAATATTTTTGTCCTTTACTCTATGTTGAATACCGTATCATTAAAATATAATCTCTATCCTAAATCTATTTTCTTATTTTTCAAATTATAATTACTCGTATAACGTTATAATTATAATATAAAAAGAAAACCATACATTAATTGACAAATGTTTACGTAAGCATGGGAGAGGGGGTAAGAGCTTTGCTTACTTTTACTGACAAGTGGTATGGGGGGGGGGGTAAATAATTGTAATAAATCTGCTTACGTAATACTTGAACGACCCCTATACTCAGCATAGGAAGCATATCCTTCAAAAATTCTGAGTGTGATCAGTAGCAGACTCAACTTCGTAACAGGTGGTCAAACGATGATAGCGGAAATTGTGGATGTTAGGGATGTTAAAACGTACAAACCTCGTTTACCTTCTCTTGGTCGTGACTTCAAAAAAATATATCGGTTGGACGAAGCAAATGTATAATAGCTTGCGGACAGATTTTTAGTTGAGAATGAGGAAACTCGATTAGGAGCACTTTCATGTATTCATAAAATGTAGATATGTCTACACTATCTCGGTGACCCTGGATATTAACAAGGTATTGGTCAGGAACTTCGTGTTAGTCAAGCAACGGTATCTCGGACTGTGGATAGAGTTGTGAACAGCAAGCATAGTTGCACAGTCGAACGAATGGATCAAGTTTCCAACTACCAACCATGAACTGATGGAGGCCAAGCGGATATGGCAAGCATGTATAAATTTCCGACAGCAATTGGTGTAATTGATTGTACACATATGGGAATCCTGAAACCAAATC